ATATATATATATATATATATGTAATGCAAATTATGTATTTTCAATACTGATAGAGGTTATCGGAATGTAGATTAGAGACATATAAGAGACATTGAGATCTTATAAGCGACATTGAATATTTTTCAAAAAATAGATTAAAAATATATTATAATAAAATAAAAGTATAAAAAAGTAGCGATTCGTTACCGTTACTGTAAAAATGTAACGACGTTATCATTACCGTTATACATAGAAAAAAGTAACGATCGTTATACTGAAAAAAAGTAACGAAAATGACAGCGTACAAGTACCATGTTACTTCCCAAACCCTGCGAATGTAATATATAAAAACGATTTTTAAAAAGTCGAAAGTATTCAGAAACTTTATACTCAGTGCTTTAAACACATATGTCCAAAAAAAGATAGATCGAATACATACCTGTAAATTTTCTAAAAATGTTCCAAAATTGTTCCTACAACACGATTATACGGTCTTCGAAGCTGAAACAGATAAAGAGCTCATAACGCGCCTGACGACTGAGGCCGTCACGAGAATCTCAGGGTCGAGTCTGACAAGGAAGTAGCGTTAGTTTTTGGCGTAGCAAATATACGAAAATTGCAATTTTTATTATTGCATTTAGATTGACAGACAAGCCTTTCAAAACAAACGATTTTTCATAGCAATGGCAAATGCGAAATACGGGAGCTTTGCGTTATTTAGAATTTTAAATAAGAAAGGCGAATGCATCGTCGTTGAATTTACGCCAGACTATGCGCAATTCACACGTTTTGATTTCGTTAAAAAAACCACTTTGCTAATAAATTAGCACAAATGATCAATAACAAATGGGAACTTTACGAATGTCCATTCACACTATTCGCAAATCTCATACAAACAGCTAATTGCAAATCAGTCACAGTAGTCTCGATGCGAAACCTGCCGTATGCTATATCTATACGCGAGCCGATGAGCGGTTTGCGAGCACCCGAGACTATGGAATTTCAATGACAGTTGATCAAGTAAGAATAAGCTCAATCGATAGTTTGCATTTGAATTATTTAACAAGTGTATTATTTTCAAATCGTTTCAAATCATGAATCGCGCAGTCTGGCGCAAGCTTTAAAAGTAGAGTAGTAGAACTTTGCAGAGCTTTGGGATTCGTCAACTGCCATACTACTGTTGCGACATAGCGATCGTACAAAAGTATGAATATATGAGCGAGCTGCTCAAAATTTTCGTTGTCGGACGCGCAACGCCGCGACATGTTCGATCCAAGTTTAGGAAAACAGATTGATTCGCGTACTCGAGAAAACGCTTGTCAAGGGTAAAAGAATCGAGGGAAAAAATAGAATAGCTTTCTTACTAAGGATGTTCATACAACGAAGCCGTATTTTTTTAGCGAAGTGCAACGTACTTGACGTTTAGGAAAATAGTGTTTGATTCGCGTCGTGAAAGTATGCTTATCGAGTAGATTGTTACACGAGTATGTATGTACGCATAGCTACGAGGGCAAGTCAATAAGTTCTTAGAAAATCTGTCAGAGAACGCTCGCAGTGCCATGTCACTTACTTTTTGACAAGTAGCAGTAGCATCTTTCATCCGATTACTGTCAAATTTTGAGCGGAATTCATCGCGTGGTTTCATTTCTGTAGACGATTAAAGCGAACAACCTTTGCATTTTTTGCAAGAGAGAAAAAAAAACGAGTTTCGTGCAGTGATCAAACATCTTATACATATGAAAGATTTAACGCCGAAAGAAATCAAAGCCGAGTTGGATAATGTTCATAGCTCATCTGCACCAGCGTTTGCGACTGTATACAATTGGATGAATTTAATGAATTTAAACGTGGTCGTACATCCACATATAATGCACCTCGTTCGGGACGTCCAATTGAGGCTGCTACGACAGAAATTATCGATGAAGTCCATGATATTGTTTTGACTGATCGACGAGTGAAAGTGCGCGAGCTTGTTGAGGCTACAGGTATATCACATGGCACAGTGATTTCAATTTTGCACGAACAATTGGGTATGAAAAAGCTATATCGGCAAAATGGGTGCCGCGTTTGCTCACTGTGGACCATAAGCGCGACCGTGTGACGTGCCCGGCACCGATGGCCAAATTCAACGAATTCCGCTACGAATTGCTTCCCCCATCCAGCTTATTCACCAGATTTAGCCCCCTGCGACTATTTCCTGTTTTCAAACCTGAAGAAATGGTTCGGAGGAGAGATTCACCATCAGAGAGCAGCTCATTGCCGAAACAGAGGCTTTTGAAGGGTTGGACAAATCATATTATTCGGACGGCTTGAAAAAGCTGGAGAATCGTTGGAAGTGTATCGAACTGAAAGGAGACTATGTTGAGAAATAAAAATAAATCGATCAAAAAAATGTGTTTTACTATGTTTTTTCTAAAAACTTATTGACTTGCCCTCGTATCGCACTATGAGCCAAATATAACGAGCCAATGAATAATTCCGTCGTTTAATCGGCGCTTATAATCCATATGATGTACTTTTAGGACGCGCATAACGGAATCGATTTCGCTGTCTCTGTTTTCGAACAAATTAACGATACAAAACTTATGCCGTCTCAGAAAAAGTGCTCTTCTAATTAAATGTCGTTATAAATCGAAGCTAAACACGTGATAATGAGAATATAAGAGCGAAATCATGCACGCATACCCGTTAGTGTAAGTCGTCTGTAGTTGGATGTGTTACAGGATATGCTACTTATTATTATTATTATTATTATTATTATCAATATCATGGGTAATATAAATCAACACACGATATTGCTATAAAAACAATATGGCGTAGAATAATAAACGTTATTAGAAAATGGAAGAGGTGAGCTTTGTCGCTATATGTCAAATAAATCAAGAAATATGCACTGCATTCTGCTACTGTATTTAAAGAAAAATAAGATTTTAATAAAAGCTATGACAGTGAACGCTAAGTGATAAAGTCTGTATAACATCGAGTCGCAAAAAACATTCCACAGGCTAATATTCATATAAATAATACAGATATACAACGTGTACACTTAACTTTACCCTTTAAAATGGAGAATATTGTTTCATGTATATATAAAGATTTGCGCGCCAATACGCTTGAAAATTTCATTAAAATCACTAAGAGTGGACGCCGAAAAATAATATACATAAGAATCGCCGCAGATACGCAATATTGTGCACGTAGAATCATCAATTTATATACGACGCATGCCATGGGAGTTCTCGTCTCTTGAAAATAGTTTAGAATCCGTTTCCTCCTCGCACACATTTTCGCCTCACTTTATGGAACATGTCGTGTTCTTACTTAACTATATAATAAATATATTTTCTTTGTATGTGAAGTTTAATCGTTTTCGCGCGAACTAAATAGGGATTACAAATAGGACTCTTTATTCAGTTGGACTAGCGTTATCAGTAGACGATTATGCCAAGGCTAGTGCTCAACAGACAACATACACTTGTTATACATCTCGTCTCGATATGCAACGTAAAGACTACTTATTAATCTTCGTGTAACCTACCCGTGTATAATACACTCGATAGTAAAGCGTTTTACTTCGCCAAAGCGAGTACGAGTTGTCGAATTTTAGAAGATATACTCCCTGCAAGCAGAACAGTAACAACTATAAATGATTAATTATCTTCGGCAAAACACGTGCGAGGCACACACGTGCGATTAAATAATATTAAAAAATTTTATTATGCTTTTTACCTCGCCCGGATATTGATGACTTCCGGCGTAAATTTCCTCTTGGGAATCTCTCCTATATATCTTTAAATAATATACGAAATAATATATGAATACAAAACTTGTGTAATTTAAATTGGAATTGTGTAATTAATCTGCAAACATCTGAAAGCAGGCGATATTGAATATAATACTTACAGGTACTATAACGCTTATGGGTGGTGTGGTCGTTCTACGCTCAGGCCGAGCGTTATCATTCACTGATCCGCTCTCTAGATCTTCTCGCGATTCATATTCTTCCTCGTCCTCGTCTTCTTCAGATTCGCTTATGTATACAGATACTTGGTTTGTCTCTGGTTTTGACCATTCGAAATAAACTCCGAAACCAATGTCATAACCGTCTGTCGCAAACTCCCAAAACAGACACGTACCGTCCTCGTGCGTTGGTACTCGCACTGTGACGGTCTCGCCATGGCCGACCTTAATAACCGCGTCACCTGTTTCCCTTCTAATTGTCTGCTTAAATTCTTCCACGCCCTTTCTCGTCCACATTTCTGCAGCACTAATGGGTGGCCAGTCTTCCACTTCGTCCGAATCTTCATCATTCACGTTTTCGTTCGTGTTATCTTTGTTGTCGTCGTCGTCGTCGTCATCTTTGCACGTTATGTTCTCTGCTCTTTGGACATTCTTCTTTTTTGTCTTCTCCTTTTCTTCTTCTTCTTCTTCTTCAGTTTGATCCTCGATAACTAACTGATTCTGGTGAAGTTGTTGCATGTATTGATGATAATGCTGTTCCTGCAATTGTCTGATCAAAACGCCCTGTTGTTCTGGATTGCCAGGATATTGTTGCTCTGCATATACTTTAAACTGATAATACGTTTGCTGATTTAAAGCATCTTGAATTTGTCTCCTCTGAGTTTCCTCCTTTAATCTTTCCTCCTCCTGTTTCTTTTTCTCGTCCTCTAGCTCCTTAAGTTTCTTTTCCTCTTCCAGTTTTTTAGCTTCCTCTTCTCTCTTAAGCCGTTGCTTCTCTTCAAAATCCCTTTTTTGCGCCTCAACTACAGTTCTGAATAATGGGCACAATTTGTCCAACAATACTATAAAACCTTCCATCGCCTGTTCTTTTGATATATCTCCCAAATTTTGCCATGCCAAGCGCCTATCCCTTCCAATCATGTCCAAGACACCTAGTGGTGGTGCATTTTCAGCTGTGCATTTTCCATGTGTAACTTGTTGTGTGAATGCCACCAGTTTCAATTTATCTTCGTAAGAGAGATGGACAGCTTTACCTTCTTTCTCTAAATAAATTAAATTTTTCAATAATAATTTTGTCAAAAAGTATGATACACCTTAAACTTAATATTTATTTAATATTTATTTATTTATTTCATACATTTTAAATTTATTACGATATTAAATCTATATATTCTTTTAACACTTCTTGCATTTGAAACATTCATTTAGTACTATCACATCTGAATATATGATTTTTCAAGATAAAACAAAACAAAACATTATTAATAATTAATATTTTGTTTTATCTTGAAAAATATTGCATGCATATTGCAAATTATAAAACTTAATCTTATTCTATATAAAAAATTTTTTATAATTGCATTTTATAAATCACAAAAAATGTGTGTGTGTGTGTGTGTGTGTGTGTGTGTGTGTGTGTGTGTGTGTGTATGTGTGTGTGTGTGTAAACACACACATGTACACAATTTCTCTACAATCATAATTATAAAATAGCACTTAAATTAACAAAACAAATAATAAAAATTATCCTCCAGTTTTGTATTATGTTTAATGACATTTAGAATAAAATTTTTATTAGAATTTAATTATTTTTCTTTATTGTAAAAATTAGCACAATGAAAAAGTATAATATATCGAATGTTTGCATGAAGAAACATAAAAGAACTTTAACGGAATAATTTCATGTAATCGATCTAAATAAATGTGATCTCGTGTTGCATCATGACGAGATAGCCAAGGTATCAAACGAAAAAACTGTCGGGTGCTCACCTTTGTAAAAGTTAAGCGCGAGCTTGTAGAGTTCTCGCGTTTCAAAGCCCCATAGTTGTGGCTCGCAATTTGTCGTTGTAACATCCACGTCATTGTTGTCAGTCTTGCTCGCTGTGTTCTCGTCATCCTCCATCGCGGAAATACTCAACTCGTCGACCTGTTCGCTAAGTGCAGACACATTCTCCTCGATAGCGGTCGCCATTTGCGTTCGCGTTTGACACGTCGATCGAGGATTAATATAAATCGCGTGTGCCTAACCTCGTTGTTCTCGTTCTTTTCCAGTGTCCAAGCGCAACCGCCAAGCAGCAGCCGCGGCATTATCTCGCAAGCGACATGACAGAATCTATGAGCGCGCGCACATTCACCACGATAGACACACAATAAAATCGCGTGGCAAGATTGCTAACAATCGCTGGAAGCTGCTGCGAGACGTATCTAACTACGTTTCGTGAAGCAAAGAATGCCAAGGAACACGGAATGACCAACTTGAATAATGACTCGACGCGATATGCGTGTCGGCCCGTATGTATCTCACAATGGGATGACCGATGAGGCTGTGGCGAGTAGTGCAAGTACGTGCACCTTGATGCGACTGTCGTGTACATACACCTGACTCTCTGTCTCAACCAGTCTCAACACTTGGCCCCGGCCTCCCTTCCCCCCCCCCTTCCTACAAACGCATATTTATTTTTTTTCACGTATGTATATACATAAGTACGTCTAGTCTAGAGTCTCTGGCTCACTCCGGCGTCTCGCGTGGTTTTTCCTTCCTAGTAACGCGCATGGTTCGATACTAGAAGAAATAAATAGAAAAGTGGAAGAATAATTGGCATATTATATATATACATATATGATCCAAAAAGCTGGTATTCAATTGCGATTACGTTAAACGATTTGTTCGAATTTATCGCTTTTTCTTTCGGCAGCGATCTATATATATTGATAAGTACTGCTCTATTAAAATGTTCCTTAAATAAAAATTAATAACGATTTTAAGAAGATAACTTATGCCTTTTTATATCGTCTTACTTTTTTAGTCGTACGTTTTTCGCGCTTTCAACGCATCTATTCTTTTCATGATTGTTTTGTTACTCTTTATTTAACTGATTATATATATATATATATATATATACACTCTTTATTTATCTGAGTATATATACTCTTTATTTAATTTGTAAAGAATTAAACGTGAAAGTAAATAACAATAAAAACATTCTTTTTTTTTCTCTCGAACGCCAAGCTTGGATTATATTTCGTTTCGAATGTAGAATATCTAACGTATAATGTAGTGACTACAAAGAACAGATCTATTCATAGCTGTATTCTTCGATCAGGTATCACAATTTTCATTAAATATTTTATAGGTATTGGAAACTATAGTATGCGAGTATAGCAAAGTTGGCTCTTATGGCCAGCAGTTAAGACTAAAACATAAGGTACCGAAATATATGAGATATATAAAAGATATATATATATATATATATATATATATATATATATATAACAAAATTGTAAATACATCCCACGTAGTACAACAATGTTTTGCAAGCGCTTAAAGAGCTGGTCTCTAGCTTAAAATAGTGGAGGGGAGTTACATGATTTGTCCTGCTTTTTAACATAGAAAAGAAAAGGAAACGAAAGCCATTGCCATCTTATAAAAAATAAATAAATAAAATTTGAGCAATAAATGTACAATTTATTATAAAAAAAATATTTTCTTTATAATGAAAATAAATATTTATTCTAAAAATTTGAACAAAATTATTTGTAATGATTTGAATGTAATTTAGATATTAATAATTCTGATGAAAACGTTAGTTGTTTAGTAGTTGGTAATATTTAGAGAGCCCAAACTGCCCACACGTACAGCACGAAGTCAACTGTTAGGCTGCGTTTGGTTTGGCACAGTGCTTGTAAGCATTATTTGTCCTTGTTTAACATTTGATAAACAACAAGGATGAAATGATATTGTGAGCGCTGTAAGCGCCAAAGCGAACACAGCCTTATAGTTGGCTGTCAGTCAGCAGAAGTCTAAAGTCGATTTCAAAGTCAGACTAAATGTCAACTTATAGCCGACTAACAATCGACAAATGTCTCGACTATAGTCAGCTATGTCAATGGCAACTATCATGGTATAAAGACAATTCTAGGCGTATGCTCGTCTGGTGGTACTCTCGTGAAGCCAGCCTGCAAGATGAAAATTTCCGAACGATCAATAACTCAAAATAATGCTCCCGATTTGTTCATATTGATAAATGTAAAAAATTGGTTCTTTTTACTTTGTTTAAATCCAAAAACGATTTTTTACGAAAAACGTTCAGAACTTTTGATCTAATTGATATTTTTGAACAAACAAGATCTCAAAATTTTGCTCCAAATTTGCTCTGTTTAGAGCAATAAATGTTATTAATCGGTTTTTTAAAGCCTGTGTCCACGATGCTAGAAATTGGTCCAAGTTCTTGGACCAAGTTTTTGTTACTAACTGATTCGACTATAATCAGAGTTAAGAGGATGCTAAACCCTAGATCAAACTCCAAAAATCCGCTGTTTTACCGACAATTTGTAAGTATGTATGCGTGCGATATTGATGTAGTAGTGTGTAGTGATATGTCATGTTTATTACCAC